AGAGTTTTAAAGCAGTTGCTGTGCTTTGCCATACCCAAATGTGCTCCGTGTAAGAAGGAAAGCAAACAGAGTTCAAATGAAGGAAAGCAAACAGAGTTCAAATGAAGTGAGGCAGATGGTTTGTTTCGTGGTTATGTGTAACTGAGTCCTTACTCTAAGGAAACCTAAGCTTGTAAAAAGCAAACAGAACTCACCCCTTCCCCCTGTCCACGTACTGGGTTTCTAAAAATCGCTTTCTCAGTAGTTTCTCTCCTTGAAATGCTGTTTCATGATTCTCAGCTAATCTGTACAAACCTGCAACTCGTATGAGGAGATGTGTTTTATAGCACAGTTTCACAGAGTCACCCAGACTCACAGAACTGTAGGGGCTGGAAGGGACCTCCAGAGATCATCTAGTCCAACCCGTGCCAAAGCAGGCTCTCAGGCCACCTGCAGTGCTGGGGCTCTGGGACTTAGTTGTCCTCCAGTCAAACAAGCCTTTAAAACACAGAGTTCACCCCGGGTGTCCTCTGCTGGGACAGTTTCTGTCTCTAAGCTCTGTTTACCTTCTGACAGTTGCTACGCAGCTCATTAATTTTCCAGGCTTCATTAATCCCAATGACCTGAACGAAGTTTTTTTATAGTGAGTGACGATGGCGTGTGGCTGCTGTGTGCATCCCAGCCTGCAGCCTGACTGGGACGACAGCCTGAAGCCCTGTCTGCTCCTCTCAGTAATGCTTTGGTTGTGGTGGTCCTTAAAGCAAGAGGAAAGTGCAGTCTCCTCCGAGCTTGCAGTGAAGATGTAATCTTAAGAACACTTCTGGCTTTGAGAGAAAAAATGTTAAAAAGAAGCCTGAAGAGGCTCTCCTGTAAGATAAAACAGCACTGTTACGCTCAATGGAAGCTGCCTTCGTTGAGACAAATTGCTTAAACATTGTGATTTTCTTATCTTGTGTGTTCTGCTCTGTGGGCTTTTCTCTAAGAAACATCTGCACTGCCCTTACAGAATCCTCATGTGCAGTTCATTTTCCTAATTAGCTTGTTGTTCTTTGAGAGCACTTCCAAGCACTGTGGGTAGCAGTGGTTTTGCAGTCACAGTCTATCAGTGGAGGAGGCATTTGCACAGCCTTGCTTGCTGGGGTGCTGAGCAGGAATTTGACTGCCAGCCTGTCCAGCCCGACTTCATGACAGTTCTTGTTTCCAGGATTAAAGCTCATGCAGTTAAAGTGCACCTGCAGTACTCTCACCCCCCTGACTACAGTGCAGGAATGCACAGAGCAATGTTTGACAGTCCCACATCTACATCTCTGTAACACTGAAACTGATGGCTTGTTTAGCTTGCTGGAATCCAGGCTGAAGTGGAATGCTGAGCATCTTTGTCCCAAGAAGTGCTAACTGTCCCCACAGGCTTCAGACACGGCCAGTCCTTTACGTGCAGGACCAAGAGCTTCATTTCCCTATTGCTCAACCAGTTTAGAGTTCATCCTTAATATCAGATATAGGAGCTGACCTGCTCATAAACATGGATTTCAAAACGTTAGTTAAGATTTGCTCTTGACTTAACCTTCTGTTTATGGCTTTAGACAAACTTCAACTGCTTTGGCAGCACACGTTTTGCTTAACAGAGCAAAATACATCTAAAACATCTGTATAACCAGAGACAAACTGATGCCCAGGACACTGCTACCTAGGGCAAAACTGGATTTAAAGCTGCTGCTTACCCAAGCCTGTTGGTACTATATAAATTAAGGTAACTAAAATTCAAATCAATACAGACTTAATTGTGAATATCTCATTAGGTAGCATTGGATATGACTCCACAGATTTAGAAAGGTAAGTTAAACATGGACAGCACTGAGGGGCAGCAGCTCTGGTCTGAATGGTTGTCAAACTTCAGCAGAATTTTCTAGCTTCTAATCTCACAGTTTTGTATGGCCAGATTGCAGATAGAGGCCTAAGAACTTACTGCCTAGAATGCAAGCTGACGAGCTGGGTTTTTAGTTTGATATAAGCCTTCATGAAATGTTTCTCTATATCAAGTAATTATTAGAGACACTAGTGGTAGATTAATAGTATATAAAGCGAGGGTGTCGTATATTCTGAGGTGACGTAATGCAGCAAGCACTGTTACTTCAGGCTGACGTGGTGTTTAAGTTAACGACCTTCTGCACTCTAAAATCTGCACAACTTTCATTCTACTGCATGTAAAAGGCATCATGCTGTAATATTAGCAGTAGTTTTGGTACTGACCTTCTGTTCACAAGTCAGTAGCTGGCAGGGGATGCAGGGCATGGTTATGGTATGCCAGGCTGCTTCACACAGTTTCAGCAACCAAGTGCCTGCATTTCTTAGCTATGCCTATGGCTGCACGTGTTTTTCTGTGCTGCTTTAGCAGCTGGGAGGACGGTCCGCATTACCCTCACAGCGCACATGTGCGCAAGGCACAACGCACTCACCGCTGATCCCTGCCGCTGGGCGGCGCTGTGAGACCACGGCTGGCATTCCCTCCGCTGCGGGAGCGCCAATGGCCGCGCGGGAAGCCCGGCCGCTGCCGGAGGAGCAGCCTTTCTAAGGCCGTGCCAGTCCGTCATCCACACGACATGGCAGCATCTCTATCACAGGGCTACACTGATGTTTACAGTGGCACTAAGAGCCTAAGCTCTTTATTTCGGATTGGACCTTATAAAAGATGCTCTTTGACAGCAGTTTGATATATCAGCACCTGCTTGAAGAACAGATGTCACCGATGGACCTACTCTGGCTTAACCATCACGAGACTTTTACAAACACAGGAATCAGGGAGCTCTGAGATGTAACCAAAATGTGCATCCCTTCTTTGGGCAGGAGCCTAGGCAGGAAAGCAGCACTGGATGGAGCGTGGAAATTGCTACCTCTGCAACGCTGGACCACGTTCTGTTGCTCAGCTCTGACACTGGGGATATTTCTTTCCAGATGTAGCACATAGGATAGATGGCATATATCAGAGCAGTGAGGGATCTGTCAGGCTGTACAGCACTGTGTGCATTAGCTAATCTTGTCACCCAACAGCTGTATGTGACACAACAGAATTTGGCACAAATCAGCATGACTAGAACCAGAACCAGATTAGCAAGCTACTTAGAAGATCTCTAATGAGTCACATGGGTAGGCACTGCATATGAGGAAGATACACAAAGCCTGTCATCCTCATTAGTCCTTCATCTTTTTAAACCTGAAGTAGCTGTAAGTATAGAATCATGGACACAGTAAAGGTGGGAAAAGTCCTCTAGGATCAGCTAGTCCCACCATCAACCCATCACCACCATGCCCTAAAGTAGCTTCGGCCTTACGAGAGGTCATCGGCCTGAACACCTTCAGCCAGAAAAGGGAGCTACCAAAGAGGTGGGAGTGTTGCAGAGAAAATTAAAAGTGCTACATTGACTGCTGTTGCAACTGCAAACACTCAAAGGTAGAAATAGGGCTGTTCCAGTAACTGACTGGGTGGCCATGTGAGTGAATGAAGTCTGCAAAACAGTTTTGTACTCTACTCTGGGTTTTCTTAAACCCTTTCAGCAAGCCATGCAGGAGCCCACTTTACTCCTATACTGTGCCACTGTCCCACAGCTTCCTCATGGCAGCTGCCAGAGTCTGTGAACACACACATTTCCCATCACCTCCTCTTCCCATCCATCTCAATAGAGCAACCGAGGGCTAGCCGTGCTCCAGAGAAGGTCTGCAATTCCTCAGCAATACTTGACAACTTGAGAACGTGAGCTGCAGAGAGGTTTACTGGCAGCCAGAATCTTTTCTCTGAAGCGGCATTAGTCTGTCATTTCTTTCTTGGAGCTGACCATTGTTCTGCTTCCAACTTCTCAAATGCCTGTGAAGGATTTGTAGCAGCTGTACAAACTTCTCAGCTTTAGCCTTCTGTGAACTGCTACATCTAATTCTTCTTTTCCCTGGGCAGCTGTTTGACAAACATCCAGTCTCTGTTCTACAAAGAAAAGCCAGTGCAACAGAAACATCATCTGTGAAGGAGAAAGGAAAGGCAAATGCTACACGCACCATGAGCTCTGCCCAGAGCACAGTTTTGATACTGCTGCTGCAGCATTACTGAGTCCACGATGAAGCACTCCCATGAAAATACCACACAAGGTTCTCATTTTGCAACATTTGACCTCAAGTACTTATTTCAAAATTAAATAACCGAAGCAGTCTGCAATTATTAGCGTTTGTTACCCTCTCCATTTAGCTGCACGATTGCATTTAAAATTAACTGAATGCTGTCCGTCCTGTTCAAGCGATTAAAAACATCTGAAACCTTCCATCCTCAGGGGAGGGCAGTGCAGGGGGCTATCAGAGCACGCTGCACGCTTTCTTGCTGCTGTTGCTCACTGGCATGCATTAACCATTACTCAGAGCCCAAAAATCCTACTCAGTTTTGAAGGAGAGAATGTAGACATGTAAGGACATGTACACAATCGGAAGGGCGCCGTCAGTGCCCTTGTCACTAAGATCCCCAAACAAACTAAAGAAAGGAAGGTTGTTAGGGAAGAGATCATCTAGAAATCAAACTGAAAAGGCTTACGATGAGAATTCTTTCTTGAGTGGAAAGCAGAATTTGTGCTCTTTCATTTCTGTCTTGAGAGATATCATACCTGCCCAGCACAACCACAGCAGATGAGAGCATTTGAGACCAGCAAGCCCCCTTCTCAGAAAACACTCCTGGTGGGTGATAAGCACAAGGCAGTTTTTCATCCAATTGATTGTGTATCTTCAAGAAACAGACAGTGTCAGTTGCCACGTGACAGCCCTGCTTTAGCTCAGGGCCCAAGGACTGAGAGCCTCCACTACCCTGCGGACAGGAGATCAGCGGATCATCCAGAGGACCACGCTTTGAAGGGAAGGAATCCCAGGGGACGTAATACAAGGAAGCAAGCCACCCAAAATATTAACATCTACCTCCTGTACACCAGCACTGCTGCCACTTGCTTGTGAAGCAGCCAACTGAGTTATCAGATGCACAGCTTAGACAACAGTCACAGATTCCAAAGTATAATTAAATATTGAAAGTTAAAAAAATATTTTTATCTAGATTTATCACAAGCTTTCAACTGAACAGTGCAATTACACTGTCTGGCATTTATACACTATGCCAAAAATCAGTCCTACAGTGGTCTTCCCCCAGATTAAAACCACAGATTAATCTGCAGCGGTACAAAGATTTTGTAGCCATGGCTTCCATCTAGGCAGCTCTATAGAGCACTCTGCTCTGATTAGTTTTGCAAATACTAATGAAATTAATTTTATCTTGCATTGTTTTCTTACTTGACTGTGAAAAGTCCATGCCAGGAACCTAACAGGAAGGAGTCCCAGTGAATGGCACCCATTCTTCTATCATGAGAGAGCTATTTTTTTGACAGAGAAGGTGACAGACTTCGGAGTATTTTGATGGAGCTTAACATTACAACATGGCATAGAATAAACGTTATTAAAGGAATGCACAGGCTGAATAAACCTGTCTGCAGGTAATTCAGTAGCTATACCTGACCACATGCTTGGCAGGGATTTGTTTAATTGAGGGTGGAAAAAACAAGGTGTGAGAGCCAGTTCTGTGACAGCAGACTAGCAGTTGGCTCCTTTCCCTCCTTCATAACAGACCAACAACTACAAGCTTTTCCAACACGACCTTATCAGCGCAGATTAAAAGAGAGATGAGAAACATTAGAGCATTGTTCTGAAACACAGTCACATCTACGAGTGAAAAAGCAACATCATTCCTATCGTTGCTATTAAGCAGCAGTTCTGCCCTGACCCTGCCGTGTGTCTGAACGAACCCCTTTTAGAAAGGAGAGGTGAGAAATGAAAAGCATACATGGGATTTGTAAAGGAAATTCTGAAATGAAAGATTACAGTTGGCTTCTAAGGAGCAGCAAGGTCACAGGAGACAGGTGCTTGTGAAGAAACTTAATTCTTATCATCACACAGAATGTATTTGTTGTATTGCTCCTTTTGTTAAGCAAAGAACAAAGCCCGGAGGAATCTGTTCTGCGTGGAATCTTAATGGGATTTACTAGAGCTTTCCACTATGTTTAAAATGTAAGAGTTTGATTTAAGTTCGGCGAGGCAAAGAACCACTGGTAATTACTGTTCTTCTGTTTTGCTGCTATTCCTGAACTTCACCACCATCACTGTTATGTTATCGGGACACCCTCTGTAGAATGACTGCAGAACTATACTCTTGGCTCCAAAGTGTGGCTCATCCAAGCGTTCCTTGATGAATCGCACGGCTTCCTCGTTGCTGAAGGCATCCCACAGACCATCAGATGCCAGGATCATGAACTCTGGCTGCAGTTTGTCCAGGTCAAAGGTGAGAATATCGGGGTCAGGAATGACAACGTTCAGGTTCTTCAGAGGGTAATCTCCTAAGGAGCGGGACATGGCCAGGATGCCCTGAACGCGCCAGGAGCCGTTAAAGCTGATAAATCCACCTGGAGAGAAACACCAAACTGTTACAACTTTCTCCGACCTCCTGCCACATCCACTCACAAATTCACCTTCGGTATCCTGAGGTTTGTAAATGTTACACAGCTCAAAAAGCAGGTGTCTGAATTTAATATCGCAGCACTGCAAAGACGAGTTGGATCGTGCCTTCCAGCTAGAGCTCTTCTAGCAAACTGCCCTGCACACGGTGTGCCAAAAAATATCAGAACAGTGTTGTGAACAAACCCATCATAAAGTGCTATTCTGAGTTAGAAAAATGCGCTGTGGCATTACAGGATTAGGGTCACTTCTAGTTGCAAATCCCTTACAGCGCTTAGGAATTGCTTACAGGCAAATGCATCTCTCACTGAAGTCAGTGAGTGATAAGAGCCAGCACCTGGGCAGCACCCAGCCTGACTGCGCTAGGGAGAGAACTACGCAGTGCCTCAAGGTCAAAGCAGAACTGAAGCACCTTCAGTTTTGTGTGCACGTGTCCGTGTGCCACTGTCTGCACTGATGTGTAGCTATATTTCCTCCACTCTAACATGAATGCAAAGTCAGAGTCGCTTGAGGACAAATAATTTGCAAAAGGTCTATCATGGAGCATTGAAATGTGTAACCAAATTGGAAGAATTGTTGTCTTTACATCTGCAAGTTGTTTGTTTTGGTGTTTTTAGAAAAACGTTTGTTCTTTATAGTAATCAGAATGCATTCAGCTTTTCACTCTGCCCTACTGCAATTGCACCTCAGCTATGCAGTCACACCAGCCTTGTCCAGCTGCTGCAGTATGTTTTGAGGACATCTTGATTGCAAATTACTCAGCCACCCATTTCCCAGCACTTTTTTCACGAGTGTTTAGAACTGCAGTACCTCACAGTAATCATATGTACGTACTGGAGTGATGGGAAGCAAAATGCCATCGAGGAGAGGCAGTTTTAAGTATGTATTATACAAACAATTAGAGGAAAGCAGTGCTGATATCCATTACTGTACTCACAGAGGAGATAGCTGATGCTGCTAACTGGTTGCAGCACACTGACAGTAGACAGTATAAGCAGGCAGTGCTTATACATGCAAAATGACTTTCCAGTGCTGCTGTCAAGTGGCAGCTGAAAGTGACAGTGGCAGGAGCTCCTGAGGTTCAGTGCAGTGTCTGTTGGCACTTGTAGTGTTTTGTTTTATAAAGTCATCCGTACAGAGTGGTTAGAAATTGTTAAGAAAAAGCAAACGTTCTGCAGTTCCAGCTGTCATTGGAGAAGAAAAGACATTAAGGAAATAGGAGCTCTTTGGCAGCCACGCAAACATTCCACACCCAGAGACTTCAGCTCCAAGGAGTGCATTCAAGGTGAATACAATTTCTATCAGTGACAGTCACCTTGTGGTGCTACAACTGGGCTTTTTTCACAAGCCAAGACTGTGGTTGTTTCACAGCCCCTAAGGTGAATACTGTACCCATTGCTCAGGAAACCCCCATCAGGGGATTTGTATTTTTTGCAGAAACGTGCATTTTTCTGTCTCATGTGAAAGAATCAGAGTGCTGGGATTGCTGTCATTCAGCTGCAAGAGGAGCAGCACTGCAGCAGTCACGAGTGTGTGGCAGCAGCTCCCTGTGGCAGCAGGCAGTGTTGACGGGCCTGTGACTCAAGCTGCTAACTATAAGCATGCTGTTGAGCAGGTAATACCAACGTCTGTAAGAAAGCAAGGGCCCTGTTCTCTCAGCCAGTGGCTTTCCTTTGGTACTGGCTGCAAACGCTGGCATCAGTAACCTCGTACTGCCTTGCAGGAACACTCAGGAGCACTCTGTGCGTTGGCTTCTGGGGACTGCAGCACGAGAGCTGCGAGCAAAGGCCTTCTCTAAATGCACAGTTGTACAGAGCACCTGGATGGTGTTGGTGAAGGAGGCCTTAAGAAGTTCAACTGCTGAACAAAAGATCTCCGGATGTTCTCAGTACATCTCCCAAGCACACAGCTGAATGAAGCAAAGTGAGACTAGAATTCTCCCATTCTTTCTTCTCAAGATCTGTGTGCATTCTGTTTGCCTTTGGGAACTTACACAACCCCAGCCTCTGTAGCGGCACGAAGAATCACGCTGCTCTTCAGCTTCCTCGGAGATAAAAGCAAACAGCAGAAGGCATGAGTTTGCCACGTACAGGCATTTATACTAGTGTGAGCCTACTGAATACCTGCAGGTTTTAAAAATGTTTCACACTCAGGGAAAAAATGCATTATTTCTACTTCACAGATGAAGAACTTGAGGCAGAGAAACAAAGCATCTCTAGAGGCAATGCTCATCAGAATGGTTAACACAAGCAAGGGGAACTTTTTCTTCATCAAATAAGTTGCTACTGCAGGCTGCTATGGGAACCAAAACAGAAACAGTTTCAAAAGAGGCTTTGACAAATTCATGGAGAATTGGCCATTAAACTTGAGGTACCAAATGCAACTTCTGGCCCAGGAGGTCTCAAGTGACAAGTTAAGAAAGCCAGAAAGATTTATTGTGCAAGGTCACCATTTCTAATGTTCTTTTCCTTGTACTTCTGCTACTGTGTATGTGTTTGTGATCATTTACAGTCATTATAGGGGAACAAAAAGTAGCTTTAATTAATTAGATTCGTGGTCTGCTTATTTTAGTAACTAAATTGCACTCTGCTTAAGACCCAGCCTCTTACATAAAGGCTGCTGATACGATGTGGTGTGGAGGAGCCTGTGAAGGTGCTGTGCCTGTTCATTAATTGCTCCCTGCAGAGATCAGGAGGGAAGTGGCTGGGACAGTCAACTGGCTGTAGAAGATGAAGGCTGCTGCTCTCACTTTGACACTGCTTCATTAAGGATAGGTCAGCCTGTTTCCATTTCTCAGCCTGCACCATGCAATCTCTCTGAAAAGTGTTGTATTAATAATGGAAGATTTTATCTGCTGGTTTCTCGCTCTGGTACTTTTCACTGTCTCACAGGGGAAAAGTCTGTATTACTGACAGCAGAGAAGAAAAAGGTGAGCTTTCAATCCAAAGCAAAACCGTTATCACTCACCGGCTCTTTTAATCCTCTTCCTCTCTTTCAGCTGGTAGGGCTTGTGGTCGTGTGACAGGGGGATGGCATTCCCGTCCTTGTCGCACAGCACGCCTCGCGAATCACCAACGTTGGCCACAGTGAGCTCTTTGTCTGACAGCAAGGCGATCAAACAAGTTGTGCCTGAGGAAAAACAGAGGGGAGAGGGGAGCAAACACAGATAGATAGGACGTATCTATCTGCAGTTATATAGCACATTTTCTGCAGTGGCTGCCCGTGGCCATGTGGACCAGCAGCTGTTCTGGTATCTGACTGAAGCATCTTCTACTCCATCAACGCCACGAAAGAGGCTGTCATCAAATCTGACAGCTCTCTTCCAAGGATATTTAAGTCTATGAGGTTTTTTTCTCTTATCTCTGGGTATAACTGAGTCATTCCCTGCTCACTCTCTCTCTTACAGTTATTTGGTCCAGTTCTTACATGGAGTGCACACGTATCTCAGCACCTGCTCCGTATTGCTCCTGCACAGACTGGCAGGTGGCTGAGCGTTGGTGAAGCTGAAAATCTTAAACTCAGCTAAGAACAAACAGTGGCAGGAAAATGTTCTTTAGATGGATAATGGCGGAGAGAAGCTCAAAGGGGAGGAGTGTTTTCCATTCTCTGAGAGCTGTCTTTTCCTAATGGATGAGAAAAGTAATAAGAGAGAAAAGCGTGTATTGGCAGCAGAGCCCACGCGCTGCTTTCGTGGACTGAAGCTACGGCACTTGAATGTACACGAGCCCAACAGCCTCTGCCCCCGGCTCCTCCAAGGATGCTGTCAGGGCTCACGTCCCATGGCAGCCCGTCCCCAGGCAGCGGATACCTGGATGCTGAGGATGAGCTTTGGTCACAGCGCCCTGCGTACGCCGTTAGGAGGGAATACAGCTGCCCAAACTGCAGGCTATGCAGCTGAAGGATGTTTTATTGGAGAAAGGAAATGATTTGACAGTTTTAATTACTTTAACCTTTAAATACACAGAAAAAATGTGATCACTCATTGACCATAGTATTCAGCAAGCACAGTATTGTCAGCTGAAGTGACAGAAAAGTATTGAAATAATTGCTTGTTTTCAAAGTACTGACACTACTGTTTTTATTTTACTCATTGAATTGATGCAGAATAGAGTGAAAGTTGACCAGACCCCATTATGAACGTGTCTGTGGTGCATTTTCTCCTTGTAGCCAGTGTGATACCAGCTGTGTTACCCAAATGCCCAGCATTAAAAATAAGCCCTGCACTGACTTTGGCCCAGGTGCCAGAATATCATTCATATTTTGGAAAAGAAGGGTATCAAATACATTTTTATATATATTCACTAACAAACATTTAAAGGGAATATTCCTGACACTCAGATTGTATGGCAGTCCTAAAATTGTTACCAAATTCTTACAAAAGATTCTTGGAATTCTCCAAATTCTCAAAGCTACACCTTGTGCATTGCTGTCCAAACATAGAATTTAAGACTATGTTTTGCAGTTCCCATGCCAGTAGTTGAATATCCCATGACTGGAATAAATATAATAGCCAGTAATAAACAATGTGTTTTTAGATGCACTGAGTTCTGGAGATTTATTTTTATCTTAATGGTCCGTCCTGCACAGCTTTAAACCAAAAACACTTTTTCACAGTGCATACATCTCATTTTGTGCCACTGACTGACGCTGCAGACCTAACTGGACAGTTTCCCATTTGTGGCTAAAAAAACCAGCCAGCTACACAGCTCTGTGGCTCATGTAACGACACAGCAACCCGTCCACCTGCATGACCCAAAGCCTTGTCAAACCAACAGCCCCCTCCACAGGTACCTTAGCTGAAGGCCACACGGAGCCTGGCAGGGGCTCACAGGGCTGCAGGATGCCCGAGGCAGCACTGCTGCTCTGCACAGCTTTCACCTCCCTGGCCGCTCCCCGCTGGCTCAGCTGGCTGCCAGCAGCAGAGCTGTGGCACTGGGAGCACCAGACCCCAGCGTTCACCCAAACAGCCTTGCTCCAAGGCCAGCAAGGTGGCAGGTGAAGCACCAGCACTCGCTCAGAGCACTCGGTGTGCCATTGCCTGCCCTCAGCAGAGAACAAAGGCAAAAGAACACAGTGCAGGTGCAGGCTCATGCCTCAGTATGGATAATAATCCTTTCTGTGTGTGCTGAGTGGTGTGGGGGTTGTTTATGGCTACTATTACACCTGTTACTGCCTCGGATGATGAGATTCTGCCCAGCAACGTGCCCTTGTAGTTAGCACTGAAGTGTTGTACTCTGCCTTCTTTTTGCACAGGGCTGCTGGCTGCAGTGGGAGCTCTGCACAGGAGTCACGGATGGTCCAACAGACCCTGCGCTTTGAGGCTAATTGAAGTTGCAACAGTAAGTGCTAAAGAGCTTGTTGTACAAATAAACCTTGGAAGGTATCAGGAAGAGAGCTGCATTATTAAGATGAAAGCAGAAAGAGTGCAGGTAAGCAGCAACACCACAACACCTGGCTGCCATGCGATACGGCCGTCTGTCGGGACAGTGGTGCCATGGCTCTGGGAGGGAGCAGCACGTGCAGGTACAGAGTATTGCAGGAGGGCACCTGTGGCATTTATGCAGAACAGTGTGGAATTTAGCATTTGAGGTCAGCTCAAGGAACAAAAACCATTAACTCTGTAAATGGATAAAAGCTCTGCTTCAATAGGAAAACTACGTCAATTAATGGCGCCTTGATTTATGAGGCTTTTCTTACTGGCTGTTCAAGCAGCATCATGATCACAGTGGAACTCTGTGGCTGGCACCTGCCAAAGGCACTCTGACTCCTTGTCTAAATTTCTGAGAGAAAATTAGCAGCCACTTTTGCATTTCTGACTAAAACCCAAACCTACGAAATGTCCAATGTGGTGATACAGCCATTATTACAACCCCACGTAACAATGAAGACTTCGAATATAGCCTTCTGGTTGTGTGATCTGTGTGTATGAAGGAGAGGGAGAACTGAGCCAGAAGATCACCCCGAGTGCTGGCTGCAGTTTGTGCATCGCCTCAGCCAGCGGCCCCTGACTGATGGCAGGCTGCGTCAGCCCCTGACCTCGTGGTGCTGCCTGCCGCTGCATGGGAAAGCAAACTTCTCTTACTTTGTTTTCTTCTCCATCTATTTTTATTTCAGTCATTTAACCTTGTGCAGAGTTAGAAACCATTGCGCACTTGTCAGTTGCCTCAGATTTAATGCCATTGCACAATGGAAAATTCCCAACATAAAGGGTCCAAAATGGAGAACACATGTTATATTGGTCCCTCGGAGCAGCTGCCTGAATAATGCCTTGCTGGGCAGTTAAAGAAGGAAATCACCAGGAAATTTAAAACCTGTGGTATATTGGCTGCAGAGATACAGTGTACATTTGGTTTGGATTTTTTGTGTTGTTTTCTTTTCTGAGTCTGTTAAGATTAGTGGTGTTATATTTTAGCACTAGCCAAGGTGCCTTATAGAAGTCAGGGCTGCACCAGCTTCACTGGGTTTTAGGTACCTGCTTTATCAAAATGAGGAAAAGGAAATGATACAGAAGTGAGAAAAAAAGAGGGAAAAAGAATCCATCAGGAGATAGAAGAAAGGAATAATAAAGGTACACCAGCAGCTGAAGGCACATGTGTAAGCAGCAGAAGGAGGATGAGGCAGCCAGGATGAGCTGCAGAAGATGCACACAAAGGGCAGGGAGCCTTTTTTGACAACAGAAGAGCTAAAGCAATTCTGAGGCCTGGGCTAAGAAGGGAGCGATAAAGGACTGAGGCCTGGTGAACAAAGCACATCCATCACGGGGCGACAGGAGCAGGAAGCAGGGGAGAAGGACAGAAGTGAAGCAAGGCAGCAGCACAGGCTGATGAGGCTGTGGCTGCCCTGGGTGGCAGAAGCTGACTGAAATTCCCCCACTGTCCCCATCTCATCCCATTCCATCAGCAGAAGTGCAGTCCATCTCCCATGCACCCACCGAGTCCCCACCTTTCTTCTCTGCCCTCTCTGCTGAGTTTTCTTTCTCTCTTCCAGCCACTATCTGATATCTCATAGAGAACACCTGTAACCTGGTCCTTTGCTCTTCCTCCTTTTCACTCTTCCACCTGGAATTTTTGCCCATTCCTCCTTTGTAAAAAGTGAAAACAGTGCCCTTACCCCAGGCTCTTAAACTGCCACAGCTCCAGGACAAGGAGCTTCCCCACAGCTCTCCCAAACAACTGCACTTCCCGTGGGCGCCTTCCTACCTCCTCTAGCACATTTCTTCCTGTCCTCCTCCACCTCTGTGATCTTTGCACCCAGAGAAAACTGGAAAATTAGACTTCCACGTCCTATGTTTTAGTCATGGCTCCCCCTTTCACAGAACCTCCCTCACACTGCATACATCAAAGTTACTCGTCGGCTGCATTCCAACCCGGTTCTTTTCCCACCCCACCCCTAGGCTTCTCTGGCTCTTTGCTTTTGCAACACAAGCTTGCCTTAGTATTGCCCCTTTCTAAACACAGCGTCATTAACCTTCATGTGCTTTATGGCCGCCACTTCCTTTTCTATCACTGAACATGCTGTTCGTAGTCATTGCCTGCGGTGTTCTTTCCCTCCAGCTCTGCTCTACATTCTCTCCAGCATAGCTTCTGCCTCAGGCTCACCACTGAAACTGCTTTTGCCAAGATCTTAACACTGTTTTCGAGCTAAAGCAGAGACAGCCATCTCTTTCTGTTCCTCTTATCTGCCTGTGGCACAGCCAGCTCAGCGCTTCTTCTCAGATGAGATACTTCTGCTTTCCTAGTTTTCACCTTTGCTTCTCTAATCACAAACACCTCTCTCCCAGCACGGTCTCTGACGATGCCTTCATCTCTCTTTCTCTCGGGTTTACACAGCTCTGATAGTCTTTGACTCTCTCTCCATAGGCTTTACTCCTATGAAATCTCATCTGCAAACACAGACATCACCAGTGCTGCCATACAGGCCTCCCGATCTGCTTCTCTGTCCCACAGGGGCCTCTTCTCTCAGCTGAAGGCCAGCCCGTCTGCCACACAGATACTGATCCCGTTCCCAGCACCCCAGCACCCGCACAGCCCCGCTGTGTCCCCCAGCCTGCTCTGTGCCACCAGTGGAACCACACCAGTGGAACCAGCTGCCCTGGGCTGCTGCAGTGAGGAGCAGGACATGCTGCCTCA